AGAGTTAGTGAGAACAGGAATCTAAGACAAACGTTGTCCTTTGAGTCATCCTGTCCAGTGCTGAACACACACAAGCAGCAGATCTGTCAAATAAGATGGTGCTATTAGTAAAGAGTCTCTTTTCAGAGTAAATCCACACTTTAAGGGACTAATTCAGTTGACAGTGTAGCAGGTCTGCACGCTACAGCACAACTGAGATTTCCTTTCTATGTCCTCTGTTAGACAGCTGAAATCTGACAGCTGTAGTCAGTCTGTGCAGAAGCACCTGGTAAATTTTCCATACAGTATAAAGTCATTTCAGGCCACCAATGAGAGAATACCAAAAGTGGGGGAAGGGAGGGGAGAGGGAGTAATAAGGAAACATAGGGATGGAAACAAGTTTCAGTATTAGTAAGACATTTTAGTCTAGCTAATTAGCCTTCACACAACTTCTGTGGTAATGCCCGGAGAAGACTGATATATGAAATACCATCTCACTTCCTTTGCTGCTGTGGTTCTCAACTGAAGCTAAATCACAAAAGGTGCTGAGCCACCTTGGGAATAGACGTGCCAGTCGCTTCTCATTTTTCATGCTAAAAAGCAAATGAAAAGCAGGCTGGGCACCCTCAGCAAAATTCCCTCAATGCATCCTGTTCAGATTCTTATTCATGCAGATATGTCCGCCAACCATAGCAATCCTTGGAGGTGTAGGTGTCACTCAATTGCTGCATCCGCCAGAAGACCTCACCACAATCACTCTCCTTTTGTGTCATCCACACTTTTTTCTCCAGTTGACACGGACATAATTGACTTCAGAATGTGGTTTGGGGGAGGAGGAGCCTATAATTTAACACCCCCAGCTGTACTCGCTCCTTTTCATAGTGCTTTTTTAACAAGATGCATGGCTTAGGGGCTGGAGCCCAGCTGCAAGGGGTTAGGGGATAATAACCTACCTGATTAGGAATGCTGGGCCAGCTGACAGAGATGATTGGCTAGACTCAGAGGAAATTAAAAGCTCCCAAGGAGGGAAGCTAGGGAGGGGGAAGTTGGTATGCCGGGGGGTGGAAAAAAAGCAGCAGCACTAGCACTGAGCTTGGGTTGTCTTGCTCCAGGTCTGAAGAAAGACCTGAGGTTTGATTTTCCATCCCTTCTTTGCACGTTTGCTTGTTTTGTTTGCTGGGGTGAAGAGCTTTCCACATGTATAATAAGCAGACTGGAACCAAGAGCTGACAGGCTTTTATGAGGAAGCTGGCTCTTGTGTCTGCCTAAGGGGGAGTCAGCCTGCTACAGCTTGTATTTCTCTTGTCACTTCTCATATTTTGCATCATTGTGTGTTGATATAACAATCATATATTGTTGATATAACACTATAATGATGCCCAAGGTAAATGTGGGCTCCTCCAACTATACTGCAAGCTGGTCCCTGAACCTGGCATCTTAGGGGCTGCACTAGATCATCCGGTGAGGTCCGTTCCAGTTCTGCTTTCCTATGAACCTGCAGGTGTCGCAGATTTTTTTGGTGGGTGTCAGCTGTGTCAAGGTTACTGTGAATCCACTGCAGGGCCCCATACATGTACACGTATGACAAGTGTCTAATGCCAACTTTGCACAGTTCAGTGAGCAATAACTACTTCATTCCCTACTAGAATTATACGGCATTACATGAAAAGCCAAAAGCCTTCATTTACATGTCCGTATAAATGCTCTCCCTTCCTATCCTATTTGCCTGTAACTTTAATTAGACCTCATGTGGCTTAGCTGTTGTCCTTATGCTATAGCAGCAACATGTATTTAGACATTTTTATTTGTTTATTTTTGCCACCACTTGTAGTGCTACTAATGCATCTTCTTTATTTCATTAAAAGCCATTTAAGTTTCACAGCTGAGGGTATCTGATTGATTCCTTTTTTTAACCTCCCCTCACACATTTCTAGCTTTCGGTTTACTGCTGCTCTCTGAAATTAGATGTTGCTCCTTCCTGCAACCCCCTACCCAGGGCTGTCATGAAATATAATTAACAAAATGAGATAAGGCAGGACTGGACACCCTGAGGTTCAAAGAGAACCTGTTTAGGTTACAAAGTCTACAGTTTTAATGCCTCCAGGTACCAGTTAGCACAAACAGAAAACAGTACAGTAGGGCAGGTCAAAGCAACTTCTTTTCATCTTTCTGACCTTTTCAGTGGGTGAAAGACCAGAGGAAGAAGTTTAACTTGGATGAGCACAACTAAACTAGAGCAGCCTATAAGTATTGTAAAACATGTTTACCTTATTTAATGAACTGATGTGTAGAAATTCCTAGATAAAACTCAGCAAATAATGGGAGAAAAAAATTGTCCAAAGGAGTTCACTTCTGGATTAAATACATCCTTGTTTTGAAGACACTAATGATTTAGCTAGCTCCAAACACAGTTCAGAAAAGCAACATAATTCTGATCTGCTTGTGACAAAATTATTGAAGTTTCTCTACAATTTTTTATTAAAAAGAAGACTGTTAAAAGATAGTTATTATTATTAATCATTGTAATAGTATTTTAAATAATTACTACTGTCATACAAATTATTATACTAAAATACCATTGGGCTAAAAACTGTACAAACAACACAAAAATGGCCCTGCCTTGAGGAACTGAAATTCTCAGGCACTGAAGTTGCAAAGATTTATGTACATGCTTTGCATATTGTATGCGATACCATGCAAGTCAATAAAATTACTTGGTGCATACAGTGAAGCTTGTGCTGGGGTCTTGGTAAAACAGAAGAGACAACAGGTGGATATACCTGAAGGTGAGATTACAAATTAGAGTTAACAGGTGCTAATTGTGAGGAATACTAGTTGATGTTAAGGTTAGCACATGCTAGTGATGAGTTACACATTAACAGTTAATGCCATCTGATGTGCACTGCTCAGACCTGTGGCAAGAGGGCTTGCAAGCTGGGGTATGGCTAGGGACTGCAAGTCTGCAAGTCTGCTATGTGCCTGTCCTGCTCACTTGCTCTCTAGCTGCAGTATAGGTGGGGGGGTGGGGAAGGGACCCACTGTGCTCCTTGGATCACCCTTTCATCCCCCACCCCCATATCTCCCTGCCACCTGCCACTGGTCCCTGGATCACCCCTCTCCCACTGCTCAATCGGCCTCTCCCCCTGGATCACCTCCCTGTCACTCCAATCAACCTAAGACCAATAGTGAAAGCCAGGTGTGGGGGGTTTCCTCTCTTGCCTTTTTCTGGACTCCTTGCATCACCCCACACACCTGGATTAAAGCCCCACCAGGCCCTACATCTCCTCTGCAGCTCCTCACTCTTAGCTTTCAATCATTTCTTCACTATTGAAAAGTAATGAACTCCCTTCTCGTCAGTGCAGAGGCAGAAAAGGATCTTGGAGTCATTATTGATGCCAAAATGAACATGGGCCAGCAGTGTGAGGACGTAGTCAGGAAGGCCAACCGCACCTTGTCATGCATCCACAGATGCATCTCAAGCAGGTCCAAGGAGGTGATCCTCCCCCTCTATGCGACACTGGTCAGGCCGCAGTTGGAGTACTGTGTCCAGTTCTGGGCGCCGCGCTTCAGGAGGGATGTGAACAACATGAAGAGGGTCCAGAGGAGGACCACTCGCATGATCAGGGGTCAGCTGGGCAGGCCTTACGAGGAGAGGCTAAGGGACCTGAACCTGTTCAGCCTCCACAAGAGAAGGCTGAGAGGGGATCTAGTGGCCGTTTACAAACTGGTCAGAGGGGACCAGTAGGCATTGGGGGAGTCCCTGTTCCCCCGAGCACTCCCAGGAGTGACTAGAAATAACGGTCACAGGCTGGTAGAGGGGAGATTCAGACTAGATAGCAGGAGGCGCTACTTCACTGTCAGGGTGGCTAGGATCTGGAAACAACTTCCAAGAGAAATGGTGCTGGCTCCTACCCTGGGGGTCTTTAAGAGGAGGTTAGACAAACCCCTTGCTGGGGTCGGTTGACCCCAGTACTTTTTCCTGCCATGGCAGGGGGTCCGACTTGATGATCTGCTCAGGTCCCTTCCGACCCTACCAACTATGAAAATATGCAACTATGAATGGACAATTCTTCTGTTGCAAAGAAATTGGAAAGACACCAGATCCGAATGTTCTTGACACTAGGGATTCCTTTTTGAAATCTATGGCTGTTTATAGATGTTACATTTTTCTAGGTTTAATCTGGACTACAGCCATCACTATATACATGTAGATGTCTGTCATCCAAATTAAAATTGTCTCCAGTCTGAATTAACTAATCCTCATTGAAGAAGGATTAAAGTTAATGCAGACTAGGCCCGTGTGAATTAGACAATTTAAACTGTATTAATTAGCATGTATATATGGCATTGTTGTTAGGAAAAACAGTCCGTAGGAACTCAGATATGCATTTCAAATATCAGTCCCCTCAAGGGAAACTCAGTTGGGTTTCTGAAACACAACAGAGGTTATCAGGCACAAAGTAACACCTTTACGAAGTCAAATGTGTCGACGACGCCTTACTGTGACTAAATATCAGCATCCTAACTAAACCCCCAGCCCTGCCCAAGCACATGGGGCTACTGGTCTGTGACGAAGGGGGCAAACCCCCTTGATTGCCTATTAACCCTCAAATCAAATTGAAATTTGATTTGAACTGTGCAATGTGAATCAGTTAACACAGCTTAGAAAACAGTGAGTGCACCTACAAATGGGCTCTTTGTTTATCTTTTGTGTCATGTATAGACATTTATACACCAGCAGTGTCAATATTGCCCTTAAAGGATCTAATGGCACCCCCGTGTGTTGTGATACCCTGGTTGAGAATCTCTGCATTAGGTCATAACTGTTCATTTTTCTCTCTTTTCTGTCACAGTTTAATAGCTTACTCAGAGCAGTATGTGGAATATGATCCTTTTATAACTCCCGCTGAACCTTCCAATCCTTGGCTAAGTGATGATACTATCTTATGGGACATAGAAATGAGGTAAGACATTGAAATTCCTTGGCTATGTATAATAATGTTAAAGCAATTATTCTATTTTATTGGTACTGCTGTCCCCACATTCCCCTATGGATCGTGTGTATACATGTACATTCAGAAGTTATCCATGATTACAAGGAAAAGGGGCTCACACTCTATTTCTCTCCATATTAAATTGTCATATTGAGGTTTAGGCCTTATTTTTAACTCACTTGCTTATGTCAGCTATGTGTAAAAAGGGCAGAAGGTGGGTCACCATTCTCCAGTGCCTTGTGTTTTGGTGAGTCATAAGAATCTTTGGAAAATGCATTTATAGGGCCGCCAAGTCAGGACAGATACATTTTATGCCTGCTTTATTCAGCTGTGGATCACTACAGAAGATGAAACATAGGAGGTCAGAGCCAGTATGTTTATTAGCCATGCTCATAAGAATAGAAGCACCAGCTACTAACACAGCTGGTGATGGCAAGACTGGAATCATTATGTCTGCACATGCCTATCTGCTTCAGGAACACCCTTAAATGGAATAGCACACTATTCCTATGATAGCCCCTCCTCAGCTCATTTACATGTACTCATCAACCATATTGCTAATTCTCAGTGCAGGTGACTAAGTAGCAGCTGATCTTACTGAGTGAATATTCAGCTGGCATTCTTAGGCAAAACCAAATCTGTACTGGGAGTGACATTAAGATAAGCAAACATTCAAAAGGAAAGTGACAAAATTCATTCCAACTGTGTTAATTCCCAACTATGACATTTACCCCCAAGGAATAAATCCCAGGTCTGTCTCCAGAGGACCAATCTATGATGAATCAGTGACTATGGGGAGAAGGAGACTTGGCAGCAAAGTGTCCAAGTCTATAGCAATAAGCCCATACAGGGAAGGGGTAATTGATTTGAGTGTTTCATCAAACATATGGGTTACCATCTCCACCAGGCATGGGGATCTGCAATCATTTTCTTAATCCCTACTCCTCTTATCTTCATTTCCTAGTAGATAGTCTGCATTTGTGTTTAATCTTTTCCTTTTTTCTTTTTTCCCCACAAGACTGCATGCCTTTTTCATCTCCTTAACTGGGTTTATATGGAACAAACAGCCATAACCATGGCAAAATGCCCCTGTGGTGTAAACAGAGTTCTAGTGAGCTCCCACTTACAAGGTACCCTGACATCCAATGTTATATTAATACTGTATCTACCCAAGTGTTCAGCATGGTGTCTCATGAAAGACTTACATACTCCTGAGTACTCTGATTTAAACCTGATATCAGGACTTTTGTACACATTTAAAAGAAATGATTGGCCTCTGCTAGGATCCTATGTTACACTGATGAAGATTATTCACTTGGTGATGAAAGTGAAAGGATTTGACTGATGAGAGATGCAGCAATTGTATTTATTCTCTGTTCCAAGAGCACTAACTGTGTCAGCACCTAGTTGCAGTTTGTTTTATAATTAAATGTTCCAGCTACAGACTGTAATGCCTGCAAGACAGTTTCCCAAATTGGGAAACGTGACCTTCAGGTTTTTCCTTCAGGAAAATGAACTTGTTGACACCCATTTTCAATCCCACCACATGCTGGTAAGTTCCCTGTCCATCTGAGAAGTGTTCAGTAACTGTGACATCCCAATTAGTCTGTCATGGCAATCTACGCTTTGGAAAATGCATCTCTAAGTAAAGCAATTCAAGGTAGACCAGAACTTGACTCTTCAGATGTCCGATGGAGCTCATAACATACCACAACTCACTCCAGGCCTTGATATTGTGTTTTAAAACAACATCTTCTTCCTTCAACTTATTTTTTCTTTCTTCATTCTCTGTGCCAAAGTAAAATATAAGCAGGACCATTAATTTAAATTCCTGGGTCTCTCTGACTTCAGCAGGGATACCGCTTTCCCTTAGACTCTCTAATTTTAGAGTTCTTTGTGATCATAAATCAAGGCTTGGCCGCAATCTGGGTAATAGGCACATAGCTCAAATAGGCATTGCACTCACAAGAACCCCTATCTTTTGCTGTCACTTTTGTGATCACCCATCCTATATTTTAATGGAGGTGTTATATTTGGTGCTAGTCTTGCGGCCACCTTCTTCTCAAAGGTATCAGACCTTTACGCGGTATGGAACATGTGTCAATGCAGAGATTGTCCCCTGGAAACCTCACTCTGATTTGCACCTCTCTGTACAACTTCCTCCTGTTTTTAATTATGCAATTTCTCCATAGTAACTACACAAATTACTTTCATGAAAAAAATAATATTAGGATAGCATTTAGGATAATATTTTCAAAGATGATTAATGATTCAGGGATTAATGTTTTGGAGTGTCCAACTTGTAACACCATACAAGGGCCTGACCATCAAAGGGTGGTTGCCTTCTTCATATATCAAAGATACTGGCATCCAAAAATGGAGGTACTCAAATATACCTACTCAAATACATCACCTTTAGAAATCTTGGCCATAATGCATTTTCAAGCTGCTCCTAATGCAATTATGCAGCTGAATAGGAGAAGCCAGCACCAAACAACCAGGCAGTTCTATGTGACTCAACAGCAAATGCTCTGCAGGCCACCCTGCAATCTGTGCACCACAGTTTGATTGTCCTTGTCTTGTATGGTGATTGATAAGTTACCATGAAGCATTTAAGCAGATAAAAAAGTGCCCTTTCAATATCAGCTTTATTTCCCTCTAATGTAGGTGGTCACCATAAACACCTAAACTTTTACATCATATTTAAATGGTGATATATCCTGCATCTATTCAGGGAATTAAATTAGGTGCCCCTTAGGTTTATTCTAACTCCTTGATTCTATGTCTTCCTGCTTCTGCCTAAATACTGATCTGTCATGTACTATCTTATATCACAAGATTATAGGCCACTCACAGGTTAATAAGTCTGATACTGCAACGTGCCTGATCTTTGGTAGTTCTTTTTCTAGGGTGTTTGTTAGCCCATAGTTGTGTGGGTTAATGAAAAAATAAATTTTGTGCTGGTGTGGTGAGCTTTCTCCTGTTGATATTCAGTTAAATCAGTTGACAGCTTTTGGACATGTGGCTGAAAATAAGCATTCATTTCTATCTCTCCCCTAAACAGCAAAGAACCCAGCCAGCAACGAGTGAAAAGATGGGGGTTTTCCATGGATGAGGTGCTGAAAGACCCAGTGGGGCGAGACCAGTTTCTTCGTTTTCTGGAATCAGAATTCAGCTCTGAAAACCTTAGGTAAAACCTCTTGACTTGAGCTGTAACACACCCAGGTATTGGGCCAAATCCAGCAGCCTTGGGTGTGTGTAGATGAAATGAGGACCCTAAATTGAAGCGATGGGTTTTAAAAAACACCGCTTCAACTTAGGGCCAATTAAGTCTCCATGTCATACACACACCCTGCTGACTTACTTGCCTCTCTGGAGGGGAGGTGTGGGCGAGCTGCCAGTGGGCAGAGCAGACCCCGAGCTGGAGAGAGTGGGGGGAAGGCTGGTGCTTCTCTGTGGCAGCAGTGGCCCCCCCCCCAGGCAGTACCCACCCGCAGGCACCCGGCTCAAGTGGTCCCAGGGGGCACCGCAGCTGCGGAGGGAAGCACCCAGCCCCTGCACAGTTCAGGCATGCAGGAAAGCTCTGGGAGAGAAGGAAAGATCAGGCTCGCCACTTTTCTTGGGTAGAGCCTGCTTTCCCGGGCTGCTGCCAGGCTGCCTGCAGGGCTTCCTGCAGAGCTCTGAGCTGCACGGAGCCTGGTGCTTCACTCCACAGCTGTAGGGGAAGCAAACTAAAACTTCTTGGAGGAGTTTTAGTTTGCTGCGCCCCAAGTCATGTAACAGGGCAGGTCTGTGACCTGGGCAGTGGCAGCACAGGAGACAGCGCTGGCTGCCTTGGTGCTGATACCAGCAGCATAGCTAGCTGCAGCAGTGGCTGTTTTTATATGCCCCTGCTTCCAAAGGTACTGCTACCTAGGTCACCCCCTTCCACTTACGGTACTGATTTCAGGTCGCTGCTCTAAAATATGGGGACACCAGAAGTTCTCAAAGAAGAGGTCTTCAGAATTTTACAGGAGCAAAACAGCAATTTTTTCCCCAGGCTCAGTCTGGGAAACAACTGAAACATTCTGGCTAAAAATTAACTTAAGTATGAGACACAGAACAGGCATAAGAAATTTCAACCTGAATGGCTAAAGCCTGACAAAGTTATCAGCAACAGAAAATAGTTTCATAATGGGAATCATCTTAATAACAGGCAGTGCTACCAAACCCTCAGTTATAATTTCATATCCTTTTTTTGAAACAAAGTGTGTTTAAAATCTAATGAATCCAAAATGAAAAGCAGCCTGGCTGGTGCCTTATACAGCCACCCATCTCCTGCCTGTGTGTTTGTATCCACATAATATGCAATCTCTTATCTGTGACATTGTGCCCTGGCTTGTCATCATTTCTGGTGAAGTTCAGGTCAGATTCACCTTTTGTGTCTATAGCTAACACCTAAAACAAATCTGCCATAAGTTTCCTGTGGATTTACTACATGAATCCAAGAGAGAAGAGATTGTAATTAGAAAAAGTAAGGATTTGCTTATTCCTATGTTAAACCTACTGGCAATAAAGAGGGAAATGATCAGTCTGCAAAAGTGCATCTCAGTTTATTGGGGTTTTAGCAAAATGTATTTTTAAGATTTCCTTAATTTTAAAAGATTGAATAATTCATAGAATATAACATATGATTCAACAACTCCTATACAGTACACCATCATCCAATAATTTTCATGGAGACTGATAGTCAAACCTATTCCCCAATTAATTCAAATTATATAGTTTCCAATAACTTATTTTCATCAAAAAATTCCCCATGTCATGTATGGAAAAAGAGTATATGGGAAGAACACCTTCTAAAATATACTTTAAAGGCCTGTTTTTATTTCCTATGCATGTTAGCCATATTTTGATTATTTCATACATGGTCTGCATAGGAAATAAAAATTTCCAAAATGTGGCTAATTTATGCACTCCGTGAAAAAAATCCCTATCAGTTTCCTTCCACTATTGTTTTTATTTTCATGCTACTGCATTATGGGTAATTTAAACCACAGTAGCAAAAGTTAGGGAACACTAATGGTTAAAGCATAAAAATCAGGACATTTAAGATTAAATTTGTTGAGTAGGGGTCTCCAGAAAGTGCGTAATGATCTCACTCACTAATTGAAGTTCAGTAGCTGTTTAAGGGAGAGAGGGAAAGGGTAAGAGTTGAACTGAACATCTGTTTTTATATGAAAATTTAATATAACTTGAGTATAAGCTTCCACGGGTTAAATTTGCATTTTTGAAGTTCCTGGAGTGAGCAAATGGATTTCTAATGCCGCCAAATCTGTAGTGTTCAGTGAAAGGAGACAATTGTGCACATTCCAAATTTATCATCAACGTTTGGCAGTCTTTGTACAGTGGCCAAAAATTGATAGGCACAGAGACAGTATCACTTTCTCCCCCTCATGGAGATAGTCCTCATCTTAGAATAGGCTTAGGGTACATTGGCGGGGCAGTATTTGGGAGTATGTGCTGAAAGTGTAATACTTGTTTTGTTGATGAGAGAGGATCAAATTGGGCCAGATTCCTAGCAGTTTTAAAGTGATATAACTTTTTAATCAGTGGGATTACTGCAGTTTACACCAGATTAGAATCTGATCCAGCATTTCCAGGGTCTTTTGTTGTGTGTGTGTGTGTGTGTGTGTGTGTGTGTGTGTGTGTGTGTGTGTGTGTGTGTGTGTAGGTGTGCATTTGTGGAGAGTGAACTCCAAGAATGAAATGCATGCAAAAATTGTTCAAACAAGTTAATTTTACAACAATGTGCTCAGGGCCAGATTAATGCATAGGCAAACTAGACACATGCCTAGGGCCCTAAGTGAAGAAGGTGCCCAGTTGTGCTTATTTTACACATCACAATTATTGACTGAAAAAAGTAGGGGCCCACGAGTTTGTTTGCCTAGGGCCCACTAAAGGGTTAATCCAGCCTTGACTCTGCTAATGTGTAAAAATCTGAAAGTGAGATTCAAATTCACTGGAAAATGACTTTAAACTACGTTGAAACAGACTAACTTCTTTAATTGTTTAGGGAGAAATCTAAAAAGTGTGCTAACAACAGAAACAAAAAACATATATATTCTTTTACTTTTAATATTCTGGGGAGCTACAACTAAGAAAATTATATGAAATTATCTTTAACCCAAACATGTTCCTTTAATAATTGCTGAGTTTTTACACATTCCCTTCACTTAAGCATATCTGTGTTCTTTGTTCTGGCAATTAAGCTGTAACTCTAAAACCTCAGTTAAAACTTCTCTATTTAAATATGGTACATTCTACAGATTACTTTTATTAATTACATTTGGCTTGGACTGATGCAGGGCAGAAGGTTTTGCCTCTGGCTGATGTTCATACGCTCATCCTATTCAAATGAATCCATAGGGTGCTGTAATTAGAAATCAAGTCATTACCTTTCTCTGTCACTGCCAGCCAGTTCTAATGCCAATATCTATTCTCTTTAACCTTAAGGTAGAGTGTGTTTACAGGCTAAGAAGTAATGGAGGCCTGTGAGGTAGAGCAATTCTAAAGACTGGCGCCTGCAGGAACAGAAGGGAATTTCTGTAGGCTGGTATGAATTAAGGCTCACTAGGGAGGCCATGATTTCACTGCTGCAGCATCCTTCACAAACAGCCAGCTTAAAAAATATAAAAACACTTGACGATGAGGTTTCAGTGCTGCGAAGAATGTGGCACACTTTCCCCCTCCTCCTTTGATTTTGCTTTCTTTTAAATAATTATCTTTAATACTTTGCTCTTTTTGACATACAAAATGCATTGTATGGGACCTAAAGAAGGCCACCAGGGCCACGTCAAATGAGCATGACTGTGCGGTATGTGGCACGTATGGCACATTCAGCTGTCCTCTGCACTGCAAAGGAGCAGCGCGGGGTGGGGGTGGGGGAGGGGTTTGACCCCTGGCTATCCAGGGGTCAAAAAAACCCTCCTGAAAAAAAAGCAGAGTGGCATCCACGGGGGCAGCATGCGCTGCTCAAAACCCGAACCTGGCCAGCCAGAGCTGCACTGTGATTGCTGGCCAGGCTTCAAGCGGCAGGATCATTGCTGCTGAAGCTCCGGGAGGTCCCCAGGACCCCAAGTAAGGCTGCTGGGGCCAGCCCAGTGCTGGCCTCATCCTCTCCTACCCAACCCGGGGTAACCTGCTGTACACCAGAGCACACGTGGAACAGGTATTTCCCAGGGACAACTAGTGGCGGTATACCTTGTGCCACCATTAGTTGTCTCCAGAGAACTAAACATCCACGTTCGTTTGGACATGGTCCCCAAGTTGAACAGAGTTAAACAACACAGACTAGGCCATGACTTCACATAAGGGTCTAGTCATACAGGACAGTGATACAGCCCTGATAGTGATTATGCAGGCACATCAAAAGCAGAATAGAGCCATATGTCATGAGTGACCAACCTGAGTTTTCCAGTATTCACCTGATTGTATGTTTAAATGGCATGATGCAGAACCATGCAGAGGTACCCAAGTTTGCTCAGCTGCTGGATGCAGGACAGCCACATTAACATGGTGGTCTGCTGAGGAGCAGGGCAATTGAGCCTAGTGAGCACCCTGATAATGTAGGTTTATGCTTCCAGTACCCCAGCTCCCCCCATGCAGCTCTAGCTTAGGTATCTCTGCACAGTATTGCCTTGTACCATGTAGACATGGAATCTACCAGCACTGCAACTGAAGAGAGTCCATGAAATGTGCCCTACATAGTACAATATTACATTCAAGAATAAAATATTCAATATTGAAATAAGGCAAATGAAGCTAAAATCTACCCTCTACTACACAGATATAACCCCTGTTTTACTACTCTGACTTCGGTGGGGTTACCCCACACCTTTGTAACTGAACGCAAAATTGATCTTTGCCCTGTGGCTTCAGCGGAGCTCTGCTGGTGATAGCAGAGGGCTGGATTCAGTGACCTACACAGACACATCCATTCCTATGTTTTGTGTTCCAGAAAACTGAACTGTCAGGCCCGCTACACTCCTGGCTTTGTTTGAACCCTCTTTATTATCTAGTCATTGGCTGGTATTTATTTATGTTAGAGCAGGAAAATCAATTAGTTCTTTTTTTCTCTCCTTTGTTAT